CGCATCCAATAACTATATATTACAAGATTGCAAATTTTGACCCGGCCGGGTTATAAAAACCAATTAATTAATTTTGCATGGCCTAGGATAAAAAATAAAAAGTCAAATAAAAAGTGAAAGTGAAAATTAAAAAGCGAATTTGAAAAACCAAGTGAAAAATAAAGGTAAAAGTGTGAAAAGAAGTAAAAACGAAAAGAAATAAAAACGAAAGTAAAAACGAAAAGAAGAAAAACGAAAAGTAGGAATAAAAAAGCGAAAACGAAAAATAACAACAAAAAGAAATGAAAACGACGACAAAGACGAAAAGAACGGAAAGAACGAAAAGAACGAAAAAGATTGGAGTGTTTTGAGAATGAAGGTTTGTTTTATATATTAAAAAACAATCACGAAATAGCATAGGTCGAGTTTGTTTTGATCGATAAGAAATCTGATTGGCTCAAATTAAAAAATTAACGCGTTTTGTCAGAAAATTCTAGAATAATCAGGCTTGAAGGCTAAAAATTGAACGAACTCAGGAATCGTTGAGTAGTTTGTTGACTTTGACCATGAATTTACGAATGGTCTTGAATAGACTCAGTGACTAGGTTTTTTTTCTTTTTGTTAAATCATTTTTCAACGTTCTAACAGTTTTTTCTACTCTTCCGGATATCAAAGCCTTGGATTGACTGTTGAGTGATTATTAAGTAATAAGAGAGATGCCAGTGTTGCCTATGACCTAAGTCACGGTCATATTGAATTCTAATAAAAAAATTTTTCACCATGATTCTTACTATAATACAAAAGGTCATAAGTCGTTATGACCGAATGACCTATGATAGGTCATTTAAGGTCATAGGCCAATACTGAAAGATGCCGGTGAAATTAATTTCACCATATCGACACCAATTTCATCAATAGTGATGAAATTAATTCACCAGCATAATAATACCAATTTTTATTTGAAATATGTTATCGTTATGAAAGAGCTACTGCTGTAATATAGCGTTCGAAGAATATCTTAATTCACCAAAGATTACAGATTTTGGATTTCAAATTCGATTATTCATGGAATTTTGAATCTCAATCTTGTTAGTGTCTTTTTAACAAAAAAAATTAAAGGCCGGACGGGTGAATTACTTTGAAAATTATATTATGTACTCGTGAGATATTTGGAATTTTGAACCTGTTAATGTCTTTATAGAAAAAATAATATAAAAATTAAAGGCCGGATGGGTTGGTATATTATGTACTCGTGGGATATTTATATGATTGACTAATAACCAATTTCCCCTGGGTAACTTATTTATACGTGACAAAGTTTTTTTTCCTACATGTCATTTCACTAACAAAAAGCATCATACTTCAGATGAATGAATAATAGATTAAAAGAAAACGTGTACTTCAACAGATAATTTAATCCTATATTATATCTCAATTATAAATACAAATTTAAATACAAATTTAAATACAAATTTAAATACAAATTTAAATACAAATTTAAACGCTTGGATTAATAAATATTTTTTTATACTTACAGATTAAATTAATGTGAATAAACCAATTTTGAGATGCAAATATTTAATAAGTGTTGGTATTTTATTACTTATTAAGTTTTGCTCATTCTATTTTGCTTTATTGAAAATTTTATCTATTAAGTAACTCTAAATATTAATTAAGCAAATTAATTTTTACAAATTATTTGATATTATTGACCAAGAATATGAGTTTAGTTATTATCCTAAACGAAATTTAAATCTCGATGTCCAAACCCAACCTACGTAATAACGTCATTATTAAAAAAAGGGTTGAATCGCAATCTAGAAAATAATCATAAATAAATATGGCAATATTATTTCAAACCGCTACAACTAATATTAATAATATGATTAAAACTACAATTAAGATTCCAATACAAAAACTAGATTTAGCCTCTAAAACAGAAAATTGTAATTCGGATTTTTTTATTTAGTAAAGTCAAAATAATTGAAAACAACTAAAATTGTAAATAAAAAATATACCTTCATTTGCTTTAATAATATATTTAACTTTTTTCATTGCATTTTCTAATCTGCTAGACGTATGATCCACACGCTCCCCAAATTCATCAAGTAACCTATAAATGTAAATTCGAATATAATTCAATAAAGACAATGCAAAATTAATTAATTGGTTTTCATAACCGGCCGGATCAAAATTTGAAAACTTGTATATATATTTAAAAAAATTTTTATAAAATTTTTATATATAAAATTTAAACAAAAAAGCCGGCCGGCTGGGTGATATTAAATTTGTGTGGCCTAATTTTATAAATTATAACTTATAAAAAGACCACTCACATATTTTGATCCTCAATCTCATCTCTCATTGTCGTAGCAATATCATGGATATTACGAGCAGTCCCATATAATGATTTTAACTGTTCATCTTGCTCTTGAAACAAAACCTTTATTATATTAAATAAATATGTATAAATGAGATGAATAATTGCTTTTACGATCTAGTAACCCTTTTTTTAAAATAAATACCGTTTGTTGAAAAGTCTCGGTTTCTATAAACCTTGTGTTATCCATCTCTATAATCTCTTCATATTTCGATTTTGATCGGAATTGTTCAAAAGTGTTGGTTGGTTTGTGACTATTCATCAGTGCCCAATTGAATATGTAAGTTAGGAAAACCTCAACATAATAGAGTTAGTCTATAAGGAAATTCTTTGTTAGTCCTCGATTTAAGTCTAACACTAATAAATAAATGGTTTATTGACCCGTCTTTTCATTTGAGTGAAGTTAAAACTTTTGCACGTGTCCAACTGAAGTTACTCAAAGGACACGTGGTGAATTGCAAAGAAACCACGTGTATATAGAATCCCCAGAAATTTTTGATCAGCTATCAATTGCCCGAGTAGCTTGTATGTTTTAACATTACAAGAGTAACAAGTTTTTTTCTAGCTTCAAAGTATTTTTATAATTTAAAGATTTTTATAATTTAAAGGGAATTAGCTTAATAATGACTTTTGAAATACATAGGTAAAAAGAAAAAAAAAGCATCATTTGAATTTTAACATGCACCAAGACAAAAATAGTTACTAATAAATAGCTGTCTTGATAGGGATTATATTTAAGATATTCTTAAGTTTGGTTTTAAAGCGTCTTTGAGCTTATTGATAGTAGCTATATGTTTTAGTTGTGAACACCGCTCTATACGCGTTTTCACTATCGGTGTTTTTGGAGCATGGTGGACAATCGTGGTAGTACAAACTTCCAAATTTGAAATTTGTGACTCAGGACCGATCTGTCCAATAAAA